ATCTCTTTCTAACTTACCCTTTTCTCTTATGATGAGAACATCCAGAAAAGGTAAGGACTTATTATGATATGGGAAAAGGCCTGGCCATCCTTGAAATTCACATCTGCCTTGTGACCTAATGGCTCTCGTAGAAATGTGGCCGAGTGGTTAATGTGTCAAGCTCAAATGCTGCACTATCATGGTTCGACTCTCGCTGGGGGTGTTGATGAGACCTATGCGAAGTCGAAACTGCAGTCCAACTCTGCCTGGATCAGAACAACTTTTTGGAAAGCAAGGCTATGCAAAATTTAATAGATACTTCATGTCATTGTGAAAAAATTCTACTACCAGTCCTTCATCACCTTAAACGAAATAGAGTGAATATCTCCTTTATAACTGATTTACTGATAGTCTCGAAACTCTACTTATATACGATAAAATAAACACTATTTGGTAAGGCTAATTGGGAATTACTAGTTTACTAAGTTGAGTGAGTTCTAGCCCCGAAGAGCCAGATAAAGTCATAATAGTAAAGAAGTGGATGAATAATTAAAGTGGTTATGATAAAGACCAACCTGTTTGGTAAGGCTTTCGAAAGGATCGGCGACGTGTTTCACGTCTGGTTGGATTCCATCAGATGATTTTGTAACAATAGGCTCCTCATGAGTATGATCTGAACTTTTTTCGAGGTCAGGCCATAGATGACTATAGCATGTCCGCACAGAAGGCACAGTTGGTGGCCAGGCATAACAATTGATCTCCGGCAACCAGCGCGGAAGGCTGACTAAATGCGCCATGCCTTCGTCAGCTGAGTCAGTGCGAGTAGAAGTAGGGGGACAAGTATGTTCGGGCTTTACAAAAGTATCGGAAAATCCAAGTGCAGCTGATGACTTTGGTGAAGCTCCTGCCATAACAGAGTCAGGAAACCTGGGAGTAGTTATTGCAGTTGGACGGACGAGTGAATAAGGATAGGCAATGGAACGAGAACCAAGGTCTCTGATAGCTTCTTGCCGATGGATTTCAGCATTAAGGAGATTGAGTTCATCCTCGAAGTGAAAGAGCTTTTAAAATAAATAAAGTATATTTGCGAATTTGATGTTTAGTGAATTTGTGATACAATCCTTTGGAGCAAACGGTCTTTGAAGAATGCTTAAATAAGTATATAATAACTTGAGTTCCAATAAGTATGAAAAGTTGTGCTTAAGAGACATTTAACATTATCTGATCGGGACATAAATATAGATTGTCAGTGAATTGGTTTGAATATCTAATATTATCATTTTAGCATTGTTAGCCCTAGAAAATTTCTGGAATAGGAGCTGTGAGAGCAGTAAGAAGGTATAATTAAGAAAGATAGTTATAGCAATTGAGATTTAATGTGATTTAATCGAAAAATGATCTGGTATTACTCTGTCGCATACTCAAAAACATTTAGCTAACCTTTTTTTTTACTTCTGCCACCTCAGAATCTAATCCTCGTAGCCGAGTAGTGGCTTTCTGAATAGCTGCATCAAAATTTGGATCAAGCTGCATAGGTTGGAGTGGGGGTGGGGCGTGCGGTGGAAGTGGCAGCTGTGGTTGTGGAGAAGCAGAGGGTGATGAAACTGATCCTAACTGAACACTCCCAGGTTCGATCAGACGAGAGGTACTCAGACAGGCTTTATGTACGGACCGCCGACTTACTGTTGCCAGTGAAGAAGTGTTGTTAACGATGTTGGTCAAATTGCTAGGACTCAACTCGAGGCCTTGAGGCCCAGAACAAGGCGCATTCGTTCGACCTAAGGCAATGCTAGCCGGAGGTTTTAAATGGGGCGATGGGAGTATAGGCCTAAGGGGGGCAAGAGGTAAGGGAGTGGGCGGGCGGGTAACGCCAGTAAGGTGGGGCGTAAGTGAGATAAGGCTTCCAGGAATAGCTGGATTCGGAAAATATAGGGAGGTGAAATGGAGAAATAAGGAAAAAGTATACAATTGATATTTAAAGAGAGTATGTGAAGATAATTGGAATGCTAGTAAGTTACTTAAAAGCTCGTGCTGTTGAGCTGTTGGCATCAAAGTTGATTGAAAATTTAATATATGATCTTGTGATTTTTCGCAAAAAGCTGTATAATTTTATATCAAAATGTATAAAAAGAATGTGAAGTGATATAATTGAACTAGCAAACAAATAGGAAAGTGAATGCTAGGCTAAAAAGGCAGTGGAATAAAATTCTAATAATCAAGACTTTATGGTGAAGCTATCAAGAAATCTAAAAAAAACACAGGTATCCAATAAAGTTTAAGGTGATGTAGGTACCGGTAGACTAATCTTCTCAAATAAATAAGTAGAATGTGCATTTCATTTAGCCCTCCCTTAAAAAGGTGATTTTCATCAAAGATAGACTGTAGTTTCGACCTTACCTGTCCCATCGGTTTACGCAAGATAGTTTAAAAGAAAAGCCGTGTGGAAGAGTTTAAAAGTTGCTGCTTCACACCAAATTAAAGAACGAAGATTATTTGAACTATTGTCCAATATCAAACAATAGTTTAGAAACGTACTAATTCACTATATGCTGAAGTCGCTAAAAATAATTTAAAATACAAATATGCCCTATGATCAAGTCTCACAGTAAAATTAGAATGTGAAGGGACCTGGTTTCTCTTGAACGAAACAAATATTCAATATTGCTCTGACACGTTGCAATGAAGTAGTGTTAACGTAGACTTTTGATGAGTATGCTACGATTTCGATCCTGTTGGAGGGGTGTTATTTACTAGTGATACTGATGCTATTGCTCAGTTCGATTGAAATCCAGGACATAAAAAGAATCCTTTTGAATTTTGATAAAGCTAATTCAAAAAAACTGTGGATATTATTTCATCCCTCAAATACAAACGTTGCTAGTATCTCTACAAGAGGAGAATAGTCTGATTACAAAAAGGTACGACTTTATTTGCCTCGAGATTAAACACTAGTCTCTCTTCAATAGCTAGCGTAACTGAAATAAGAAGCTAGGTAATTAATCAACCCTCAATTTAAATTGCAGAAATATAGCAAAAATCAGAGAAAAACAATTCTAGTTTAAAAAACCGACTATTTTTATGAGAATGAGAATTATTTAGTCAAATTTTATATGCCTTATCACTTGAACGTATTCGGCCTATTTTTGCAAACAAAATTATGTAGAACTAAGTATGGAATAGGGAAGCTCTAGTCCAGAAACCAATGACAATTAAGCAGGTAAATTTGGGCTCGAATCGAATTGAAAAAAGTTATTAAATCTAACAGGTCTAGGAAGCAGTCTGCAATGATAATATAGGTAAAGCAAATATGAATACAGCCACTTAGTGACAATGACAGATATGGAAAGATTGCCCTTTGGTTAAGAAATCGAAGAACTTATATACTCTTAAAAATGAATTAAAACTGTGGTTAATGGTAGGATAAGAGATAAAACGAGCCACACATGATATCAAAAGTAGTTCGGAAAAGATATGAAAATCTCGTAATCTCCGATATGGAAATATTCAACTTCCAACTCATTTTCTGCAATCTTGCAATAGTGAATAAATTGACAAAACCTACAGTTATGTGCATTAGCAAAAAAA